GTATGTGGGACGCGGCCTCAGCATGGCCAGAGAAGCGGTGCGGCGGTGCGCGCCCAGGATCGAACCCGGGCCGCCAGCAGCGGAGCGCGCGCACTTAACCGCTAAGCCACGGGGCCGGCCCCCACCACTTCCTTGAAGTCCTACCCCAAACCACATTTATATCTTACTTCTTTAAGTTATAGTAAGTTCTCTCCAACAGATTCCATATAAGCCACAAATTACATTTTGAAGATTTTATTAACTTAATTTTTTTAAAAACATTTGAAGAGCATTTCTTGTACTGGGCACTAGGACATAAAGTTGAATGAGAATCTGTCCCTACACTGGAAGTTCTCACAAAAACCGCTGACAACTACCACTAAACCAACTCGCCCTCACACATCTGCCCCTCTCAGCTGCTTGCAAAGAACTTACTTCATTGTCAATGTCACATACGTAGACACACACACACACACATTCCCCAACCCCAGGCCTCTAGGATCATAAAACTCAAGGGCTTTCAAGGGTTGTTTATCCTCAAGAAAAAGTTAGAGATCCTCTATCTATTAAGTAGAACATAACGTTCTACTTAATTTTATGCAGTTTTCTATTATTTTCTAATTTTTTCATGAGTATATATCTAATCTAGTCAACTAAATTGTTACTTATAGAATAACTTATTAAATTCCTTATGGTATCTAATACAATACTATACACATATAGTCAATACATCTTTTTTCATTGGTTGATCAATATAATTCTTGATGTTTAAATGGACCATAATTTACAGGTGAATTATTACTTAGAACATGTATTACATATATTTGAGTTATTTACTTTCCAGAATCTCATACTCATTGATTTCATTCCCAATCTCAGCTTCATATCACCTATGCATTAAAAAAAGATAGATAGATAGATAGATAGATACATAGATAGATACATAGATAGATAGATGTCCCTTTTGAGTAATAACTGGTTAGTATAAGGCCATAAACATGAAAAAAAACAAGGGAATATGATTTTGTTTGAAGCACAAGATTATAATTTAAACATAATATATAAACTTTAATAAGTCATTAATTTCTGTCAGAGTCTATGAAAGAGTATCTGCTGTCTATTTCCACTGCAAAGGGGTTTTTAATAATAACGCCTCTCATAATTTTTCCAAGTGTGATCCACAAACCATCTCTGTCAGAAGCTTGGGGCCACCATTCAATATGCATATTTGTTGGCTATACCCATAAATCAGTATCCCTGAGGGTAGAGCTGAGGAATCTGCAGATATACAAAGCAACTGCTGATTCTTACTTGCACTGCCTTATATTATACACAAGTTTTTAATTTTATTATTTTATTTATTTTATTATTTTATAGTATATTGTTTTATTTATTATTATTTTATTATTTATATTTTATTTTATAAAAGACATTTTATTTGCTCTTTACAATATCTTGAACAGGAAGTGTGTAAGCATCACTTCCAGATGCACGTCACTGAAACACAGAGAAGCTATATAATATGTTCACATAGCACAGTGCCAGGTATTCATTTATTCATTCATTTGGCATATGTTTATTCAGTGCTTACTAAGTGCCAGGCTCTGCTCTAGGCATAGAGATACAGCAGTGACCAAGCAAAGATCATTGTCTTATGAGGCTTATATTTTCTTGGGGCCCATTTTAGGTAGCCAGTAAACATTACATAGGAGAGAATTAGATAGAGCCAGGCCTCCAGACTCTTAGCTGAGTGCTTTCTTTCCACACCAAATGGTCCATGCACTACACTGTAACATATCATATCAATAGCATGCACAAGCAAGATGCAAATACAATAAAAATCAGGATTCATTCTTCAGGCAGCATGGAGAGTGGGTATAGTACAGGCTGTAAGGAGTAAAACAGATCTGGGTTCAAAGTCTGGCTTTAGCACTTTACATACCTGGGCACTCTGGACAAGTTATCTAAGCCTTTAAGCTTCAGTTACAGAATTTATCAATATCTACCTGGAAGGGTCAATGTGAGGGTGAAAACATATAATAGCATATGGAAAACATCAAGCATGGGTGTAGCACGGTGTAGGTACTCAGTATCGGTTCTCTTTTTCTTCGTAATCAAATATGAATCTTATCTGACAACACCACAGCATACCTAAAAGGCTAGATTTAGATTTAGTGAAAGTCAGCTGTAACTAGTTTGCTTAAATTATAAAGCCTGCTTTCATAAATTTTATTCTACATTATACATTTAGGTGATGGCTTTTGGGATAAAAATGGCATTATTACTCCATAATAGAAAAAACATGCATTTTGAGTTTTTTCACCATAATATCAGTCTATTCTTTGGGAACATCACTCATTTTCCAAGCAGAAATATATTAGATCATCACTAAAAATGTGTATATATGATAATGTAACTTCTCTTCTCATCAAACTATTAAGTAGTATAAGTCCATAAACAATAAGTTCAGCCACCACTCCCTGCCTCTCCAACCTCATTTTTTTTTTTTTTTGTGAGGAAGATCAGCCCTGAGCTAACATCCATGCTAATCCTCCTCTTTTTGCTGAGGAAGACCGGCTCTGAGCTAACATCTATTGCCAATCCTCCTCCTTTTTTTCCCCCAAAGCCCCAGTAGATAGTTGTATGTCGTAGTTGCACATCCTTCTAGTTGCTGTACGTGGAATGTAGCCTCAGCATGGCCGGACAAGCGGTGCGTCGGTGTGTGCCTGGGATACGAACCCGGGCCACCAGTAGTGGAGCGCACGCACTTAACCGCTAAGCCACGGGGCCGGCCCAACCCAACCTCATTTTTCCCCTTCTTTGCTATCTCACAATAATCCAGTGACACTGGACTTCTTTTGGCTCCTCAGACCTACCAGACTCTCCAACATTTAGACGTCATGCATGGTGTTGCCCTCTAGTCACCAGGTTAATGCCTAATTGCATCCCACCTTAAATATCTGGTCCTCGGAGAAACCTTCCCTAACCAACCATCCTGACAATGATAGGCTGCACTACGTAGGGTGATGTGGTGAAGCCTCCTTGATAGAGAAGCCTGGGCTCCAACCAGTCATCTGACAACATGGTGTTATGCTACAGCACAAATGCACAACTGTGCAGGTAGATAAAAGTTCATATGCAACATGATGTAACTGGCAATAGAGCGTATGCATTGGCTAATTTTAAAGAATAGCCAAGGCTTTCAGAAGTGATCCCTCTTGTGGAAACTCTGCTGAGAGGCTTAGGAAATTATAATATATTGCTGATAACAGGGGAAAAAACTCCTTTAAGGGAGACTCCTAGCATGGCCTGATTCTCTTCAATATGCTTTCATCCTTTGCTCTCAAACCACATTTTGCAGAGATCCTTGGAAGTACTATAAGAGACTGAGGCACATTGTTATATATGTTAATAGCATCTTGTACTCATCTTCAGAGCTCTTTTTATTTGTATTCAGTGTTTATTTTCTGTTAATGTTTATTTTCCCCACTTAAGGACTATGCCTACCCTGTTGCCTGAGTAATAATCCCCAGTACCTGCCATAGTTCCTAGAATACAGAGGGAGTACGTGCAATAACCATACATTGGATCCGTGAATTAAATGAGAGATGTGTCCATGTGAAAGAAATATAGTATACGGGAGTTAACTTTATTTAATTTATGTGAAGTATATAAAATAATGCTTGGCACATAGTAAGCCCTCAGTCAATGTTGTTGTTATTTGCTTAGCTAGAACAAAAATCGCCGAGTAGAACACGAGAAAGTTACTGACTAATAAATGATAAGGTTGAGCAGACACTGTATAGTTATCCCTGTCAGAGTACAGTACAGCATACTAAAGCAGCTACAGTAATCCTTCACCTCAGTTGTTTTTGAGTTAATTCATTTTAACATTTGAATATACAAATTTAAAAGTCCCAGATCTTTTCACATATTCACAATTGAGCTCAGTGCTCTTAAATAAAACCACTTACAATAATGTCTTGTACATATAAGAACTTCTGTGGGATACAGCAAAGAGAGATATATCCATGTTCCATTCTTTCCATAGATGGAAAGAAAACCAGTGCCCTTGAATATTTTAAGGAAAGACCACAACCCATTTTTTCTAAAACTTGTGAAAATGAAACAACAAAGTACAAAAGACCTTATATTTCAAGTCACTGAAATCTCAACACCTGCTTTCAAATTAATAAAAAGAGTAAAGACTGTAAAAAAAAAGACTTGAGGCCACTCTGCTTTAGTTTATCCCAACACTGCAGCAACATTTCCTGAAAAATTAACTGAAGGAACACCTACTAGAAAAGGTTTTTTAAACTTACCAATATAATTTGTTTTGGAAATGGATGTCTTTTAGTATTTTTATTTACTAGGCTTTCACACTTTTTTTTTAATTTAACGCTATTCTTATTGTTTTCCCCGAGTCCATTTTCTAAGAATCTTTGATCTAACCAACCACATTTTGATCATCTATATACTTTTTAGGAACTTCCTAACCTATCATCAATGGAGAGGGATTATTATAGCATCAAATAATTCTTTCACTGTCAGAATCTAATGCAAATAACAATCAGACACAACTAAACCTGAGGCATAACCACTTATAATGTTCCTGAACAAAAAAGAAACCCTCCACTATTTACACAGGCCATCAAAGGCACTCTGGTAGAAACAGACATCTGCAGACTAGTCTAGTCAGCCATTCTATTCACAGAAGGAATATTTCTAAGTCACACAAAAGTGCCTATATTAAGCTTGAATAATATAATACACACAGAAAATGTGTTCACTGCTTAATCTATTGCCTCTTACTAAAAAGTTTGTTCTTTTCCATGGGGCCATATTTATATTTAGTCTTGAGTACGTTTGTAATGAACACTTCCATTTTTAATAAGTCATTCACTTTCCCTGATTTCTTTCTAAAATTAACTCAGGTTTAAGCTCATGGGTTAATAAAGATGAAAATCTCCTTGGAATACATAGAGGAAGAAATCATGAATATCCTGAAGAAAGATACCTACCTCAGGCCCTGTGATATGCATCAGACCAGAAACAGCAGAGGCAACAGCATCATAACCAGCTCGCCGAGACAGTGGACCTGTCTGACCATACCCTAAAACAATAAGAATAGACATATTCAGCACCACACAGGGATAGCAATAGTACAATGGTGTGTTAAAACCATCTGTATCCAGAAATCTTGCAGCATTTTGTTACTACTAGAGCTATACTATCCCTTGAAGGAGGCAGTAAAAATTAATTACGGTGTTATACTCCAGAAGGTTGCAAACTTGTGACTTGTGGGCTCAATCCCACCTACATGAATGTTTCGCCTGGCCTGAAGAGTATTTTGAAATATTTTTATTTAGTTTCCAACATTTAAAAATCAGGATAGGGCCGGCCCCGTGGCTTGGTGGTTAAGTGAGCGCGCTCCACTGCTGGCGACCCGAGTTCGGATCCCGGGCTCCCACCGGCGCGCTGCTTCTCCGGCCATGCTGAGGCCGTGTCCCACATACAGCAACTAGAATAGGATGTGCAGCTGTGACACACAACTATCTACTGGGGCTTTGGGGGGAAAAAATAAATAAATAAAATCTTTAAAAAAAAAAAAAAAATCAGGATAGAACATAAATGCAAATTTCTGGTTTTTCTTAAAAAATCAGAAAATAAATTCAAAACTAGGCCCACTTTCTCACATGGCAACAATCAGAGTTAAGTAACAGCTCTGCCCTTTAGACAAGGCATAAATTCTCCAATTTGCCAGTCTCCACCACTCCTTACTCCTTTATGCCTTAACCTGATTCACTCATTTAACTTGCCTTCCAGACTCCAATAAGTATTTGCCACTCTTGCTCTATACAAAACAATATACAAAGTAAAACAAAACAATGTCTCCCTAGGTTCTATTTACATATTTTCTCAAGTATGCAAAGAATATAAATGATGATGAAAAATTTGAACATAAATAAAATGATTACATCTCCTAACAATGCTTTTTAAGATTACAAAGAGAAGGCAAAGTTATTTTTTTTTTGCCATCAGCAAATATTAAAAGAACACAAGAAATATTTTCTCCTGCTCTCTTCAGTCCTGGTGCTTACTGTTGAATAATAAAGGTTATATCAGGAGCTACATGAATCTGTCTCCAAATACCATGTACCAGCCAAAGAGTGGCCAAAGAGCCTTCCATACCCGTCAGTGATTTGCTGCAATTCCCTGCATATTCTTCTTTAGAAATATTAAGACAGGGGTGTCTCAGGGCCGTTGCTTGCTTCTCCAGCCCCCTGTAACACCCTCTCTCCATTTCACTCCATATATCCACATACCTCACTCTCTCGCATCCTCCAAGTCTGCACACAAATGTCTCCTAACCAGAGACCACCCTGAAGAACTTTTATAAAAGAGAACACTCACTTCTCACTCTTAATCATGTTAGCCAATTACATCTGTCTTTATAACCTTTATCACCATAAGATATATAACATAGTTTTTTATTGATTTATTTTGTCTCCTCCCTACTAAAATGTATGCTCCCAAGATTTTTTTTTTTTCAATTCACTGCTGTATCACCAGCATCTAGAATAGAATTCAATAACATTTCTTGAATGAATACTTGTTATATACAACTGATTATTTTTTAAAAAACAATCTATAAAAGGGAAATTAATAAAGAAACTAAAGAAGTTTTTTTCTATTTTGTTTTTAACCAAAATGGTGACATAGGAGGCCATTTTCCTCCTCCCATAGACACACTGAATGTACAGCTACACACAGAGCAATTCCCACTGAGAGAAATCTAGAAGCTAGCTGAATGATTCCTACACATTGGGCAACAGAGAAAATATCCACACAGAAATTGGTAGAAAACGCTGAGACACATTCTCACCATAAACCCCACTCTAGGCACAGTGCCATACAATTGGGATGCAACCCCAAACTCCCAGCTTCTCCCTGAGGAGCAAACAGTTTGGATGATACACCTAGCACCCCAACTTTTAAGGCTCCTACCCAAGGGACAGGCCCCCAAAACACCTAGCTCTGATAGCCAGCAGAGCTTGCATTCATGGGTCCCACAAGACTATAGCAAACAAAGTTGTTGTTGACATGCACACAAGCACTAACCACAGCTATCCCCCCAGGGCTCAGCTCAAAAGGAGCAGGCAAAAATGTTTATCTCCCAGTCTTTTCTTGGAAAAGGTTTGACTGCATACTTTGTAAGCTGCTACCTTAGGGTCCAGACACTAATTAACACACATCTAGGTGCTGACTGCAATCCTATCTGGAACCCAAAAGAACCAGTGGGCACTTTCCCTACTTTCTCCCTTTAGCTTGCTCCAACAATAAAACCAGGTCACCAGCATCTCTCTGGAAGGAGCTTCTACACATCTGGTGCCCCAACTTTTGCAGCTACTGCCTGAGGGATGGGACCTCAGATCACCTGGCTCTGATTGCCAATGGGGCTTGGATTCATGAGTCCACAGGACTATAGCAAACAAACAAGCAGTTTTTTAATGTGCTAAAGAGCACCTCCCACCCCGCAAAGCTATACACCCAGGCTCAGTGCAGAAAGAGAATGCAAAAATGCCCATCTCTCAGTTTCTCCCTAGAAGGCATAAGACTGCCTACTTTCTCAGCTTTTGCCTGAGGGTCCAGCTTTTAATCAGCCTGCGTCTAGATGCTGACTACAATTGTCCCCTTTGGAACATTGATGGGTCTTCTCATACCCTCAACAACTGGGAGGCACGAAGAACAAAGACAGTAGCTTGGATAATCACAAAGGTTTCAGAGGCAACCAGGAGCTCAGGCTGGACTGATTAACGAGATTCATCTTCCACACAAGATGAGGCTGCCCAGACTAGGTGAGGTGGTTGTTTTAGCTAATGCACAAAAACCAACATAGGGATTCAAGGAAAATGAAAAAACATGGTAATATGTTCCAAACAAAAAAAACAGGATAAATCTCCAGAATCCAGTCTTAATGAAACAGAGATAACAATCAGAGGAGCAAAAAGAAAAAAGACTGAAAAAGATAAAGATAGCTTAAAGGACTTATGAGACACCATCAAATGGACCAATAGATGCATTTTAGGGGCCCCAGAAGAAGAGAGAGGGAGAAAGGGGCAAAAGTTTATTCAAAGAAATAATGGCTAAAAAATTCCCTAACCTGCGGAAAAAAACAGACATCAGATCCAGGCAGCCAAAAGAGTACCAAATACGATGAATCTAAAGAGATTCACATTATAATTGAACTGTCAAAAGTTAAAGACAAAGAGAGAACCTTAAAAGCAGCAAGAGAAAAGCAACTTGTTACGTACAAGGGAACACTCATAAGACTATCAGTGGATTTTACAATAACTTTGCAGGCCAGAAGGGCGTGGGATGAGATATTCAAAGTGCTGAAAGAAAAAAAAAAACTGCCAGCTAAGAATACTCTACCAAAAAAAATTTTCCTTCAGAATTGAAAGAGAGATAAAAAGTTTTGCAGAAAAGTAAAAGCTGAAGGAGTTTATCACCACTAGACTTGCCTTATAAGATATGTTAAAGGGAGTTCTTCAAGCTGAAACAAAAGGATGTTAATTAACAACATTAAAACATATGATAATATAAAACTCACTGGTAAAGGTAAATATATGATTAAAATCAGAATACTCTAATATTATAACAGTGGTGGGTAAATCACTTATAACTCTAGTATAAAGGGTAAAAGACAAAAGTATTAAGACTACCTATAACTATAATAATTTGTTAATGGATACATAATATAAAAAAGATGTAAAGTGTGATATCAAAAACATAAAATGTTGGAGGGGTGCAAAAATGTAGAACTTTTGTATACATTTAAAGTTAGACTGTTATCAGCTTAAAATAGACTGTTATAACTAAGATGTTTTACGTAAGCCTCATGGTAATACAAAGCAAAACCTATAGTAGATACACGAAAGATAAAGAGAAAGAAGCATACCACTATAGAAAATCATCAAATCACAAAGTAAGAAAACAAGAGAGAAAGAAAGGAACAAAGAAATTACAAAACAACCAGAAAAGAATTAACAAAATGGCAATAGTAAGTCCATACCTATCAAAATTATTTTAAATGTAAATGGACTAAATTCTCCAATCAAAAGACATAGAGTGGTTGAATCAATAAAACAAACAAGACTCAACTATATGCCACCTACAAGAGACTCACTTCAGCTTTAAGGACACAGACTGAAAGTAAAGGAATGGAAAAAGATATTCCATGCAAACGGAAACCAAAAGAAAACAGGGGTAGCTATATTTATATTAAATAAAATAGACTTTAAGACAAAGACTATAATAAGAGACAAAGAAGGTCATTATATAATGATAAAGGGGGCAATGCAACAAGAGGATATAACACTTGTAAATATTTATGCATCCAACATAGGAGAACTTAAATATATAAAATAAATATTAATAGACCTGGAGGGAGAAATAGAGAGCAATACAATAACAGTAGAGGACTTCAATATCCCACTTTCAACAATGGATAGATCATCCGGACAGAAAATCAATAAGGAAAATATTGGACTTAAACTACAGATTAAACCAGCATATTTAACAGACATTTACACAATATTCCATCCAACAGCATCAAAATACACATTCTTCTCAAGCACACATGGAACATTCTTCAGGATAAATCGTATGTTAGGCCACAAAACAAGTCTTAATAAATTTAGGAAAACTGAAATCATATCAAGCATCTTTTCTGACCATAATGGTATGAACCTAGAAATCAATTACAAGAAGAAAACTGGAAAATTCATAAACATGTGGAGAGTAAACAACATGCTACTAAACAATCAATGGATCAAAAAAGAAATCAAAACAGATATCAAAAAAATACCTTTAGACAAATGAAAATGGAAATACAACATACCACACTTATGTGATGCAGCAAAAGCAGTTCTAAAGGGGAAGTTCACAGTGATACAGTCCTATATCAAGAAACAAGAAAAATCTCAAATAAACAACCTAACTTTACACTTCAAGGAATCAGAAAAAGAACAACAAACAAAACTCAAAGTTAGCAGAAGGAAGAAAACAACAAAGATCACAGCAGAAATAAGTGAAATAGAGACTTAAAAA